CATGATTTGAAGGACCCATTTGTTGAAAAATAAAACTTCCTAAAATGGTACGTATTCAATTTGGACTTGCATTAATTTCTTTTTTTAATCCTTAGAACTGCAGTGACATACTACCGAATGAATCCTTTTCTTGAACTTCTTTTATTCCAATGAAAGACCCCCGCCCTTGACTAGTTTTCCAAATACTATGGTGTTTCCCTGATAAAGAGCTTTCCTTGCAGGATGAGAGGTGGCTTTCTAGCCCACAGCCCTCATGGCAGACCTGTTGACAAATGCCAGGAGGATGACTGTCCTGTGGGGCAGTGCACCACCTCGTTCGCAGGCACAGGGCTGGCTGCTGGGGGGGCCCAGTGCAGGCTGCTTTCTTAGGCCTCACGGGGGACAAAGCCGGCCCTCCTACCACATTCGTGCTGGTGGCCAGAAGGCAGCAAGGCCCTGCCACCACCTGGACTGACTCCTCACACAGGCCTGCTCTGAGATTCCTCCCCACTTGGCCTAACAGTCAGTAACTGTGCTGCCAACTAAAGGCACTGAGTTCAGATCCACCAGCTGCCCTGCTGGAGAAAGACGTGCATGCTTGGCTTGTGTGACTTACTGCCTCTGAAATCCTGCTGGAGCGGCAGCTGTTCTGACTCCATGGTAATGAACCAGCCCATCATGTATCTACCTACTGCATCCGATCTACAATTTCTCATATCCACTTCAATCCTGCATCAGCGGGCCTCTCAGTCAAGGCTTTCTTCATCACACTCTGACCCCAGGCCACTCTCTGCTCTCGTCCCATCTAGAGTTTACAGTTTGGATTTCCCTTCTTCAGGAAGAAACCATAAACTCAAATAATTCATTTTAGAGGTTATGGCTTTAAAATATTGTTGTTGCTATGTGTCACTGAGATGCCTGTGACTCACAGCGACCCTATGATAAACAGCCCTAAACCCTGCTCTACCCTGTGCCAATCATACTGTCTCCAACATACCTACCCCCATTACCTAAGTCACTGAATCAATCCATCTCATCGAGGGTCTTCCTCTCTTGCACTGTTCCTTCATCCTCCCAAGCATGACATCCCTCTCCAAGGACTGGTCTCTCCTTGCAACATGTCCAAAGCATGTGAGAAAAAGCTTCAGAATCTTTGCCTCCAAGGAAAAGCCTGATTTAACCCTCTCCAGGAAGAATATGTTCATTTTCTTAGCACTCCACAATATATTCAATATTGTTTTCAAACATTACAGCTCAAAGGCATCAATTCTCCTTATATCATACCTAGTCATTGTTCAGCTTTCTGGCACAGAGAAAGTGACTGCAAAGAGCATGGACTGTATCAGGTGCACCTTAATCTCCAGAGTTACATCATTGCTCTTTAGTACTTTGGAGATGTCTCTATCAGCAGACTTTCCCCACTTCAATGTCTTTTAATTTCCTGGCTGTTGATGCCAAGAGTGTTGATATCAAGAATTTCATCCAGGAAGATCGCAAAAGGTCATTACAAAGACAGAAGAGGAAGAAAAGAGCAAAATGGATGTCAGAAGAGGCTCTGAATATTGCACTAGAGCACCAAGAAGCCAAAGCACAGGGAAGAAACCAAGATATTAAAGAGCTGAATAGAAGAGTTCAAAAGGCAGTGCAGGAAGACAAAGTCAAGTATTCTAGTGAAATGTGCAAGGAGCTGGAGTCAGAAAATCAAAAGGGCCGAACTTGCTTAGCATTTCTTAAGCTCAAGGAACTGAAGAACAAATTCAAACCTTGAGTTGCAATACTTAAGGATGCTTTGGGCAGAATATTAAATGATCCAGAAGTATTAAAAGAAAGTGGAAAGAGTATACAGAGCCATTGTACCGAAAGAAATTGCCAGACACAGAAGAATTTCATGAAACAACATATGAGCAAGAGCCTACATAGATGAAGGAAGAAATTCAAGCTGCTTTGAAAGAATTGGCAAAATATAAGGCCCTAGGAATTGATGGTATCCCAATTGACATATTTCAACTAACAGATGCTGCCCTAGATGCTGTGCCAAGAAATCTGGAGGACAACCTCTTGGCCAACTGACTGGAAGATATCTATATTTCTTCCTATTCCAAAGGAAGGGGATCCGACAGAGTGTGAAAATTATCAAGCAGTATCATTAATATCACATTCAAGCAAGATTCTGCAAAAATGATTGGAACAGCACATCAACAGAGAACTGCCTGAAATGCAGGCTGGGTTTAGAAGGGATCATGGTACTGGGGATATTGTAGCTAATGTTAGATGGATCTTGGTTGAAAGCAGGGAGTACCAGAGGAATGTCTATCTGTATTTCATTGATTATGCAAACATGTTTGATAGTGTGGATCATAACACACTGTGGCTTTAAAATGCAGCAAATAGAAAATTGTGATTTTACAGCAACAAGTGCTCCTGTCAAGCTGAGGTCCGCTCTGTGGACATGGCTGGACACTGGCAGGTCTGCGCCCTCTGCCTTCTAGCCTGGGTGGGGCAAGGTGAGTCATACAGAGGCCAGGCAGGACCTGGAGGTACCTGCTTTTTGGGGCAGCCAGAGCACTTTCTCCCTGATTCAAGAAACCAGTCCAGGATGCCTGCAAAGCTTTTGTTAAATGTGAAATGCAACTTCCACAGTGAGCTTGGGGTACTTAAAGGTGTGGAACACCCAGAGCCTGAAATGAGCTAAAACCTAGAAACAGTCCAGAACCCACACCAAAGAAAAAAGGAGATGTGCTGGCTTGGAGGAACTGCTAGCTGCTAGTTGGCCGCAAATTTGGATGGGCTGGGATCCCCTCCATACTGAGCAAGGCTCAGTAGACCACCAGAGTGGCATGCTTAGTACATTACTGGTATTTATAAATGCACTAACAAGGTATTCAGGGCAGCTCTTATGTTCAGAGAATTTTAGGTTGTTTTATAGCAAAACACACTAACAACCCTGTAGGAAAACACACATAACTACACGTGGGTTGGAGAGCAGCCAGGTACAGGACCCAGGTGGGAAGGCCGCAGACTAGCCCTCTTGTTCCTGAAGACTCTGTATGGAGCACAAAGAAGGAGGGTTAAGAGAAGGGGAGGAGGAGGGGGGAGGGAGAGAAAAGAAAAGAGGAGGGAGAAGTAGAGCAGGAGAAAGAGGGAGCGGGAAGGAGAAGGGGAGGAGGAGAGAGAAAAGGAGGAGGGAGAGAAAGAGGAGGAAGGAGGAGAGGGAGAGAGAGAGGAGGAGGGAGAGGAAGGTGATGGGGAGAAGGAAGGAGAGGAGGAGGAGGGAGAGAGGAGGAAGAGGGAGTGGGAGAAGAGGGGTAGGAGGAAGGAGATGGGGAGGAGGGAGAGAGGAGGAGGAGGGAGTGGGAGAAAGAGACTGAGAGAGAGGGAGATGTGGGGGAGAAGGAGGAGGGGAGAACTAGGAAAAGGAGGGGAGGAGAAATAGAAAGAGGAGGGGAGGAGGTGGAGAGGAGAAAGGAGGAGTACAGAGGGGGAGGGAGAGGAGAGAGAAAAGGAAGAAGAGCAGGGGAAGAAAGGAGGGAAGGAGGAAGAGAAAAAGAGAAAGGGGAGGAGGGAAGGAAGACAAGGAGGAAGAGGGGAGGAAGGAAGGGGGAAGAGCAGGAGGAGGAAGAGAAAGGAGAAGGAGGAAGAGCAGAAGAGGGAGAGGGAGGAGGGGGAGGAGGAGAGGAAGGAAGAGGAGAAGGGGAAGGAGGAAAGGAAGAGGGAGGTGAAAGAGAAGGAAAGCAGGAGAGGGTGGAGGAGGATGAGGAGAGGAAACAGGAGGGGAGGGGGAGGAGGAGGATGGAAAGGAAGAGGAGGATGGAAGGGGGGGAAGAAGATGCGCAATCAGGGTGGAGGACCTGCCTGTTGGGCTCAGGCAAGTGACGGAGGGGCTGTGCTCGCTCCACTGCCCATTTTCTAAAAGAGAAGCTATGATCTGGGTTTAACATGGTTAAACATGATCTTAAAGATCACCTAGGATGCACTCATTTTACAGATGAGAAAAACAATACAATAGAGGTAGACCTGGGTTGCCCTAATCTCTGCTAGACCTACAGAAGGACAGTGACACTTCCCTGTGCTAGCTGTGCACCCTGTCTTGCTCCCCACCAGCCAAGGGTGTCAAGTGGGCTCTATCTTTAGATGCACTGCTTCCACAGTGGGGTGATGCTCTCTACTGACAGCAGCGTGTCTTGTCCCAGGTCTGGAAGCTCCACTAAAGGCTGTTCAGGGTCAAAGCAACACAGCCTCAATGGCAGAGAGTGACAGCAGAGGCTCAACCCTGACCTCCCGCTAGGAAGGCTAGATTCTGCCCCAGAGCCACTACTGCCCTGAGAGCCAGATCCGCCCTGAGTGCCTTTTCATCTATAGGCAGGTCTATGGAGGATGGGGATGCTAATTCACAGTACAGGGTAAGGGAAGGCTATTTATCAGTCACTGTGTGTGCATCTGGGTGGAATGGGACAAAACTGGGGAAAAAGGTTTAGACCTGACAACAGCCATGACCCAGAGACTAGAAGAAACCTTGCCCAGGAATTAGGGAAGTGGCAGCCCCAAGCTGAAAGGGCAATGCCCAGGGCAGTGAGGACTGAGGGGACCATGAAGCCTGAAAGGCTGCCACAACAAGAAGGCAGCTGTGGGATTTGTGGTGGGAAGTGTTACCAGCTCCTTAACCCTATTTCTTGTTCTTCTCTGACTTCAGGATGAAGCCATCACCCACCTCATGGTCTGTGACCTTAGTAAACCCCACACCTCCCAGGATCTCCCAGGGGAAGTCAACCCACCCTCCATTCTAATTCTAAAGTATCATCCTGCCAGGGGACCTAACCTGCCTGACAAGGCAAACCCTCCAGAAGGGAAAGGGTAGGTAGTGCTGTGAATGGCTGCCCTTGTCTCACCTCCCCAGAGCTCACAGCCTGTACGCTGTCACTGAGCAGCACTGAGATGCTTTAGTCATTGGGTGACATCATTGAGATGTACCTGAGCAGCAGCAGCTCTGTAGCCCTGCGCCAGTCCTCCCCTCAAGCACTTACTTCAGCAAGTCCTTGTCCTTGTTGAGGTGCTGGAAGAAGGATGGCTCACAGATGAGCTGGCTCTCCTGGCACACCTGCTTGCAGGACTTCCCGGGCTCCGCAAGCTTCACCTGCAGGGCACTGAGTGGAGGCCACATCACCTGCCCATGGCAGAAGTCCTGGAATGACAATGAAGCCATCAGGCAAAGAACCACAGGTGCAGCTGCGGTCCTCTGCCCCTCATGTCACACAGCGCTAACTGGTAGACACTCTGACCAGCAGTGACGGGGAAGAGCCTGGGGTCAGGCAGGCAGGGGAATGAACACCTGCCCTTGGGCTTTCTAAGTATCATCTTCTTCAGTTACAAGATTGGGACTTCATATCCACCACACTGACACCCAGATGAAAGCTGGTGTGCAGCTGCCAGACAACAAAAACCAGTTGCCTCAGAACTGGTGCTAACTCATGGTGACCCCAAGTGTCAGGCTTGAACTGCTCCACGGGGGTTTCCAGGGAGGGATCTCAGGAAGGGACACAGATCCGCAGGCCTCTCCAAGGTGGACTAGAACATTTAACCTTTTGATTAATGACTGGCACCTAACCATGTACACACCCAGGCCCTGTTGTCAGCACGACCAGCAGTAGCAACTAGACAATTTAGCCACGTAGAGTCTGTTGCTGTTGACAAGTCCACATCCGTTTTCCGCACTGCTTTGATCTCTCCTTCCTCGGGAATCCCGAAGATGTTTTTAGTCCTCTCTGATTTAGCTGTAACCTACTTTGACAAGGCTCAGGGGACACTCAAGGGTGGAAGTGTGATTTTGTCAGGCTAAGGATCACAGAGGTGCCCTATAGAACCCAGCATGGCATCAAGCCCCGGCACAGGGATGTGGCATGTGTTGTAAAAACTCTTAATGTTCTGCTCACATGGCCACTACAGAAAGCAACATGCAACAAAGCACAGAGTCACCTGGCAGGCCTACTTCTTAGGGTGTCCACAGCACGGGGACAAGGGCTTGGGAGGGGGCAGTGCAGGCCACTCCCGGGACAAACAAAACCATCCAAGGAAAGTGCTGTGGCCAGACAGTTGGGTCTGGGAAGTGACCTGAGAGGCATTACGGACAGTTGGCCTGAATAGAAATGAGATGGCCGATGAGCAGAGGAAGGCTCACTCTGGCTGGGACCCTCCTTTATGTCATTTGTGCCCCAAAGAATGCTGAACCAGGGCCAGAGATGAGGACTAGGGAACCTGGGTGTCCAGCATCAGGTCAGCTGACTTGTCAGGGTAGGTCTTAGCAAGCTCCTCAGGGTCCCCGACCACTTCCCCCACCCAGCCTGCTGATGATGGGGCTTGACTCCAGTGGGACAGCCAAGCCCTCATCAACGTCCCCTGGTGCTGGGCATTCAACCCAGAGCACATGTGCAGAGAGGCTAATGCAAGATACAAGGCCGCAAACTTACCACCCTCAAGTGACTGGTGACTCCCAACACCCCTCCACTTGGTTTCTGAGAGGAGACTGTCCAGCTCTGTCCCATGCGGTGGGTGACAGATTTGAACCACTGATTGTCTGATGTAATGTGTGACTCCACCAGCACCCCTTAATACTGTTAATGACAAAGGGGTGGGTGGGTAGGGTGACCTGAGACAGTCTCATGTCTCTCTCTCTGAACTTGGCTACTTTAGTCTGGAAAAGTTTGAAGGTCAACAAACAGGAATCCTTCACTGTACAGTGGGCAGGAAACCTAAAACCAGGATCCAGGTAAGCTGGAAATAGAAGAGAATGCTGAAAGACCTAACAGGTCAGCATGAACAGAAACACACTGGGTTATTCAGGGCTACCAGCATCCTTCTTCACCTGTACAAACTGACTCAGAGTGAGAGGGTAGCAAACTGTCCCTGCACAGTTCTGGGAACCAGAAACAGACTACTGGGTGGAAAGACTCTTATCCATCTCCTTCCATTCTGATGATCTTGACTAAAATCTGTGTCTGTGCTGTCACAGGTAGTGAAAGCAAGTAAGGAATGGAATCCAGGGTGCAGTAGTGATGTCTATTACATGACAGGACATGAAGACCTCCTGGCTGGACCTGGACACTCTGGCCAGCCCCATCAGGACGGCTGCCACCAAACAGGAAAACCAAAAGGTATAGTGACAGATGATGCTGTTTCCTGCTGACCAGCACTGAGTGTAGGTTAGCACTGACAAGTTAGGTTTTCCTTTTCGTTTTTTTGAATGCCAAACCAACAGTGGGTGATTTTAACCCGCCAGATGCTCCACATGAGAAAAATGGCCAATCTCCTCTTGTGTAATTTATAGCCTCTGAAAATCTGATGGAAGCCGTTGTTATTGACTCAATAGCAATAGGAAGGTGAGCAATTTTGCTTACAAGTTTTTAGATGTAACCTGGTAACTTATACAGGCTTTAATGTTATAATAAAGAGATTTCAAATCCAAGGTATACCAAGGATGACCATGTGATTCTACTGAAAAGGCACTTAACCAAGTCATTTAGATTAGCTCATGCCAATACCACAAGCGACAGCTCCTCTCTCTGCTTTCTGGACTTGGCTGTGCCCAAACTGGAATTACTCTGGTAACTGGAAACTCTCAGTGGCTGAAGGCTCAAATCTTGATTTTTATGGTTCATAAGAAAACCATAGGAATTCCTAGGTGGCAAAGTTTGGTGGTTTGAGGTCACCCAGGGGAACCTTGGGAAGATCAGAGCCACTTGGGACCCCACTCAGCACAGTTCTCCCCTGGTCCACAGTGGGTGAAAAGCATGGAACGTATCTCATCAGGACTATACAAGCACTATTTCTTGAGTGTGCAGGGCTTTAAGAAGCATCTGCTATTCATTATCAGCCCTCGGTGGTATAGGATGCAGCTCTGAGTGTGTCCTGGGCGCTCTCTGCTTGTTTTTGACTCACAGTGACCCCAGGACACAACAGAACTGTAATCTCCAGTGCTGCAGACCACTGGACCACCCTCCTATGAGCTTCTGGGTGGGCTTAAACTGCTAGCAGTCAAGTACTAAACCTTGATTATCACCAGGGCTCCTCTAGGAAGCTGCATGTGGGATGGAAACAGAGAGACATGTTCTGCTTTGTTTGACTAGAGGCTGAAAAGGCAAAAGAGCGTACAACAAAGAGAAGCCATGCTGAGTCTGGTTCCACCATGTGAACACTCCAGAAGTCTCCATCATGTCATGTGTAGAGAGGGTAACGGTGTGGGCAATGGTGTCCAAATGAGACAGGTGCTGCACACACTATCGCTTCCTTCCCCCTACCCCCCACCCCACCCCAGGGCTGTCTGTGTCCTGTAGTTTTCACAGGCATCTCTGGGAGGGAACTGGACACACAGCGACAGACGGAAACAGTGGACACCCTGCCACATCCCAACAAGGACAAGAGGCTGGCTCTGTAATGTTGGGACAGAGGGACATGTCTGCAGAGGCACGCCAGGTTCATTGGCCGTGGTGTTCACTCCTCAGTCTGCTTCTCAAGGCCACTCTCAACCAGGTTCACTGAGCTCACTCAGCACAATGACTCAGGTCTTGTCACCTTGCTCATGAATCATAATCGGGGCTGGCCTGGCACCCTCTCAGGAGACTGTACGCTTTTGTAGAGTTTTTTGTGGATCAGAATGCATGAAAACAGTTATCAAGACCTCCTTAAAGCTGGGAGAGCCATCGGGAAAGTGAACATAATAGTCCCCTGGCTCATACTTGTCTCTCCAGAAGGCTGGAAGGTGACATCAATGATGTGGTATGGCAGGCAAGTATCTGAGGATCTGGACTAGAGTTCTAGCCCACAGTCATTTATTAAAGAAAAGCTGAAGGAGCGAGAGTGGGTATATGATTAGCTGGGAGAAGACTCCAGGCAAAGGGAAAATCACCATCTGAAGACAGGCGTGCAAGCCTGTTCTGGGAAGGGTAGAGACCTGTGTGAGTCAAGGGCAGGAGCAGGCAGACAGTTCGAGGTCACAGGTAATCAGGACAAGTAGGGCTTTTCAGTCCAACATAAATGCTGACTCTCATCTGGTGTGGGATATGGGCAGAGGAGCGACAGGATCTGCTATTGAGGACAGAGTGTAGGGGATGGTGAGGAAGCTGTTGGAACGGTCAGCGGGAAGTGACGGACAGTGCTCAACAACCCTCCAGGAAACACTCATACTGTGGGTCAGCTTTGGATGTTCTTTCTCATTCATTCATTTAAAACTTTCCAAACACTCATCAAGCCCTTATTTGAGTGCTGTGAAGACGAACATGAATGAGATACAATCTTTGGGCTCAAGGGTTAGTATACTGTCTAGTCATTGAGGCAGACACTTAAAAACAACACAGAGCAGGGAAGGGCAGGTGTCCAAGTGAGTTATGAAGGGCACTGAGAGAAGGCAAGCAATAACCATGGGGACAGCTTGCTAGTGGTCAGAAAAGGCTCTGGAACACAAGAACTCAGCAGGAATTAGCCATTTAGCAGATGACAGATATTCAATGAAGAGCTACTGAACCGAACAGCTTTGGCACTCTGGAGTTCTGACAGTGGAAATCGGGAGTGTTCCAAGCCTGCAAATGCTTCCATGCAGCCAGAATGTGACAGAACAGGCAATTTCCAATCTGGTAGTAAGTCAATTCAGGACACACAACATCTGCACTTCGAAGAATTATTTTCGCCAGTCACCAAATTTCTCCAAATTTGTTTGTCTATCCTGACATTTACAGGTAGTAGCTGCAGTAAGAAAGGTTTATCAATCAACAAATTAATGAGAACAGGTGACCTTCTAAACAACACAATTCCTTATGAAGGGGAGATAAAGGCTTTGTAACAAAGGCTAAGCAACTGCATTGAAAAAATATTATTTGCAAAAATACCAAATGAACTAGGGGAGACTCGGGGAGTGGTGAAAGGCAGTGGGGTTGCTTCCCAGGAGAGATGGACAGGGTAGGAGGTCCAACAGAAAAGATGGATATTTTCTCTTGGATACCCGAGAGAACACCATGGATATTTCTACTAACCCTCATCACACACATATCCCCAGTGGAGCCACTGTGTCAGCTGGTTCAGTAGGTCCCCAATTCATGGTGACTGCACAATCCCAGAGAGTGATAGGCAGCATTCCTGTGTCCTCCCAATGAGAGGCGTGGATTGCAACACTGTGCTTCATGGGCTATCCTTAGC